CACCAGGCGAGGCCGACGACCTCGGCCGCGTCGCAGGCGGGCCAGGCCGGGGTCCCGCGATTCCGCAGCGTGCACGCGACCACCCACCCGGGCGCCGTCGTGAAGGCGAACCACCCGGCGTTGTTCACACAGCACAGCGTCGCGGCGGAGACGGGCTCGTCCAGCTCGCGCAGCTCCCGGCTGTCCGCGGCCAGGCTCGCCGTCAGCGGGGTCGCGCGGAACTCCCGGATCAACCGCGAGCTCTCCAACACCGCGACCTTGTTCGCGTACCACACCAACACATCGGGCGTCCCCACCGCGAGGTTGATGAAAAAGGCAAACCGGTGGATCGTCCGGTCGTCCTGGAGGCGGAAGTACGGGTGGACGGTGAGGGTGTGGGTGCTCGGGTCCGCCCCGGCGCCGTTCTCGTTCGTGACGACCCAGACGAAGAACTCATTCTCCGACGCCGACGCGGCGACGTTGCTGCGGTAATTCACGAAACTCATCGCGTGGATCGGCCGCTCGTGCGCGCGGAGGCTGCCTTTCATGTTGTTGCTCCGCGCCACCAGACGGACGGTGCGGCCGTTCTTTAGCGTGTACGCGAGGTAGTCTTCGGAGTCGGCGAGCACCCGGGGGTTCTTCGGATCCTCGTTGAACACCGCCACGAGCGTCATATACACCTCGCGATCGGTCGCCTTGCGGGCAAAGCTGGTCAGGTCGACCTCCCCGGTATCGGACGCCGCTGCCAACTCGTCCTTAGTATCATCGGTATGCATCTTTTCTTACAAAAAAACAAAAAAATAATGTAATCGAGTTATTAGGATTTCTTTTTAAATGGTTGCACTCAAAAAAGAAAAGTCTACTACTATCTATATAAAAAAATAAAAAATAAATAAATAAATATATATATATATATATATATATATATGAAGAACAAAAAACAAAATCTCAAAGAAACAGAAGCAGACAATATCGACCACCACACCTATACGTGGGGGAACCGACCTATTTTATGCCGTTTCGCCTTTCAGCCCCAAGGGCAAACCCGTAGCTCCTATTTCGGAGTATTCACTATCGATTACTCAGAAATCAATCGGTATCCAATGACCCCCCTTTTCCCTCCCCCTCCCTGAGTCGAAACGCGAAACGCATCCGCCTCCACAAAGCTGAGGCCACAACCCTCTCCCCCTCCATCCCCATGCAAACCGCTCTCGTTTTTATTTAAACACGTGGTATTCATCCACGCGGCCGCGAGGAACGACCGCGGTCTGCAGCGGAATAAACGGCCGCCCGCCGAGAAAGATTCCCTCCGCCTCGGCCTGATTCAATCGCCGTGATGACAATGGCATGATCTCAAACAGCGGAATCCCCGTGGTGAATTTGTACGCGAAGTGGTGAATGTTACTCTTTCCCGCCCCCATACGCGATTCGGGGCTTTTTTTCACCACGGGAAATTCTTCGTAGTCGGTGTGCATCGTCAGCGCAAAGGCGCCACGGGGCATCCGACGTAAAATCCCAAGCCGTGCGTTTTCGAGTTGGGAGTGCGTTACCATTCCGAAATCCGTCGTGATGAGCGCAAAAAGGCCGTGGATGAGGGCGACCTCGTTGTTGATGTAGCGGGGATCGCCGTACTTTCGAAACTGCCGAATCGGGCGGCCTGTTTTGGGGTGGACGTAGTGGTAGGCGCGAAGCCATACGCTAGGACGCATCCTTGTAAATAGCTATAGAGAGGCGGAATCAACACCCCAAAGGCGGCGATACGTAAAGGATTAGATAATAATATTTCCTATATTTATATACTATATATAGATCTATCAATTGATGGCCACCTACTAGTAGTTTACAGTAATTGATTGCTTCCCCACACGCACCTTAGACGTAATCAAGGAAAGGTCATGAAAAATATATCGTTCGTTTTGCGAACACGGGTATGACTTCCCCCGTTTAACGTGCTTAATATAATGGTGATAATAAAAGCAGAAGAGAAAGGTGTCAATTCCGCCTTTTTAATTGAAATCTGCGTGTTAGCATAATCGATGAAGCATAATATTTCATGTTCAAAAGCATGGGAATCTCTCAGACTCCCTCAACCACATTAACGCTACTGTGAAGCAGTGAGTGCTCTCGCCAACTCATATGGAAGTAGACTTATGTCAGGATCTTATCTTCCACGTTTTTAAAAATTTCCCTGGCGGGATCAGCGTGCATCGAGACACTAGCCAAATGAGAAATCCTTATTCTACCATTTTTAAGAATTCATTTCTCCCCCTCCCCCTCACACACAATCGCTTATCGATGAAGAAGCCCTCGCATCAATCGCGCGATGGAAAACCCCCGTTGACGGGGGGCCAACGTCAAGGCCGTGGGCGCAAACGCAGCCGGTGGTTCCCACCTCGCCGCGTGGCGACGGGTGGGCTTGAGCAAACCGGCGTTTTCACCCTCCCCGACGCCGATTTTCACCCCGCCTGCGGGATTTCCAACCGCCGTGTTGGAGGCCTTTTCGCGCGCGCCCTCCGCCGATTCCCCATCGCCCTTCGGACGCGCGGGCGGCGTGAAGAAGGGCTGCCGACGGAGATGGAGCGCCGCCCACGGCGTCGACCACGCCACCCACTCCGGCGTCAGACGAAGAAACCCTTCCGAAAGCGCCTTCACCATCGCGTTCGCGAGGCCGCCCGCGGTGTCGTCCCCTCGCCTGCCCGATTCCCTCCCCGGCGAAGAAGAAGAAGAGATGGGGGAGGCCGATGACGAGGAGGCGGATCCGTCCTCCCCCCCCTCCGGAGCAGGGGGCGGCGCGGTGAACCGCCTCGCGCCGATCTCCCGCCGCGGGAGGACGACGCCGCGGTGGATTTTAAACCCCAGCCGATGCACAAGCTGCTGCCAATTCCACGCCTTGCTCGCGAGCTGAAACTCCACCGCGGCGGCGGATTGAAAGGCCTGGCGAAGTTCTTCTTCGGGCACCCCAGCGTCGATCGAGGGGCTCCCGGTCTGCCGTTGCCGCGCGAGCGCCATCTCCCGCGTGCAAACCGCCATCAGGCGGTAGAGCACTTTAAACGGCAGCTGCCCACGCGGCGCGGTGAGCAGGGAGGACGAGGAACCCGGCAGGGCGCCGGGATTCGTTCGAGAGGCCGTTCTACCCCGATCGGCCGAGACGAACACGCACGACTCGCTTTCCCCATCCTTGCATAGGGAGAGCAACGCGCGGCAGAACTCCGCGCGAACGCGGAGGCTCTTGGTGATCCCCATATGCCGTCCGAGGTTGAGGTTCTCCTCATAAGGGTCCTCAATGCAGAAGGAATAACGCGTCAGGTTGCCACCCCGGCGGGCGCCCCCGCTAGGGGGCGCTGCGGTGGGAGAAAGAGGGGCGATCGCCTCTGAATCCCACCCCAACATCCGTTTTGTCGTGATCCCCTTTCGATTGAGCGAGACGACGTGGTTTGCCCAGTCGAACTCGTGAGCGTAGAAGAGGAAGAACTCCATGAGCAACCGCCCGGCCTCGCGCTCGAGCGCGGCCCGCTCCGCCGCGCTCCAGGCGGGGTCGAGCATCGGCCGGTATCGCGGGCCCTTCGCGAGCTCCTCGCGATAACACCGCAGCGATTCCGGGATATCCTCGATCGGATCCACGTACGCCACCACGCCCTTCTGCACGAGGAAATAAATCCACATGATGTTGATCGCGTAGCTCGTGAGGTAGCCGTTCACGGAGTTGTTCACCCCGCTGGTTTTTGACCAGTCCTTCAGGACGATCGCGCCCGGGCGCGCGCAGGGGTGGTTGAGGAGGTAGCGCCGCAGCAGCTCCGAGTTGCGAATCCCAAACGCCCGAAAGCTGAGGTCGAAGTCGACGTTAAACAGCTCTGGACGGCACTCATCATGCAGCGGCTGCACGCGCGCCCGCTGCGAGGGCGACGTGAACGTCAGCTCGCACATCGAGGCGCGAATGGCGTGGGTGGTGGTTGCACAGGTGATGCACATCATATCGCTCGTTCGATTCCACCAAATCTGCTGCACCGCCTCGGCACCGATGCCGGCGCGAAGGCTCCCTTCCAGCATCGCGCGATCCGCGTGCGAGGCGGGCTGCGAGAGCGCACAACGCACGCTGCGGGAGATGATATCCTCTGCCTCCAGGCCGCCACTGCCACCCCCCTCCTCCGCATTCGCCTCTCCCGCCTGGGGTTCGCGCACGGGGCGAATAGGGGAGGAGGCGTGATGCTTGATAATCGGCACTCTCGCGTGGCTGATCGGCTCGAGGTTGACGAATGAGAACCCCGCGCGACGGAGCCGCTCCGTGATCGCGCGCACGGCGCCCTTCTCCGGCGGCGGCCACGTCCCCGCCTCGAGCGCGTCGACGTCGACGACGGCGAAGTCGATATCCGATGCCCCATCCCACGCCGCGAAGGCGACGGTGCTGCCGAAGATGAACACCTCCGCGGCGGGGTGCCAGCGGCGGACGACGCTCTCCAGCTGCGCGCGCGCACGCTC